CACACACACACACACACACACACACACTGACCTCAGAGAGCCAGGCAGGCCCTCAGCTCCTCCAGTGTCAGGCCTCGGTCTCCGTCTCTGTCGCAGTACTGAACGAACTTCTTGGCGCAGCGTCTCGGCCTCAGCCTCCGTCGCAGGAACTGACGAAGGGGTCGAGCCTCGCGTTCGCTGAGCACGCCACTGGAGTCCACGTCCAGCCGAGTGAAATGCCACTGCAACACCTCCTCTGGGCCGGAGGAGTCCGCAGCAGAGGGAGCAGCAGAGGGAGAGATGTTCAGGGGAGAGGAGGAGGAGGAGGAGGAGGATGGAGTGGTGGAGGATGGAGGGTTTGATAAAAGAGAGGGAGCATCAGAAGGAGGTGTGTTTGCAGCCCTGGTGGAAGCAGAAACAAAACCCGAGAGTGAGCGACCTTGATTTAAAGAAAACAAACAAACAGGAGAAATTCAGCCTCTTTCTAATATTATGTTTCATCCAGAGACTCGTTCACCTGCTGTGAGGAGCTGGAGACACACTTACTGGTAGGGACTCAGACTCCCAGCATGCTTTGCTTCCAGCTGCAGAGCTGTGATCAGACTCTGCAGGAACTGCTCTTTACGAGCTCCAGGACATCCTGAGAGAACAGAGCGACAGTCTGGATGTTAAAGTCCGAGTCGACTCTACCCTGCCCCAGTGCCTTTGAGCCAGACACTGACTTCTCCTACTGTGTAAAGTTTGCTGCTCTGTTTCAGTATGTGTTGAATTTATTATGAAGGAGCAAACATGGGAGGTTTCAAACCGTCAAACTTCACAAATAATTTACAGATTTGTCATTTTTTCCCAATTTTAGAGGTGAAAACATAAAAACATGAAATCTGTTTATTTCTGATGTAACAGAAAGTCTGGTTTTTACCAGGCAGAGGTTTTTCCCTGAACCTCCGGTCTGTTCTGTCTGGAGCCTCCTCTGCCCCGGTGCAGTCTGGGATACGATTCCTACAAAGAGACACAAACACACACACACACACACACACACA